GAGCGCCGAGAAAAAATTGTTTATCGAAGATGATTTTCTGACGATGGCCTTTTTTAGCCTTCAGTGGTTTGTGCTGTCTATTATATATACTTTTATTGTCTGTACCTTTGCTTACCTGGTTACAGTGTGTGGATCTAGCTCTTGTTTTGCAGTTGTTCTTTTTTGTGATGTGATTGTTGTTTTAGTATTGTTGTTCTTAGAGGATATTTCTATGGATAAAGGGTCAAATGAGTGTTATAGCAAGTGGAATTTGGTTAAGCAAGACCCAACTTACCTTGAACATATTTTCGTAGCTGTTCTTCGAGTTTAAAGCGTAATACATTTGACAGATGAAGAGCTTAGCGGGATTGACGAGTTTCGCTAGTAGACGTAATAACGAACAAAATTATGTCAATAACAATACGTACGAGGATCCCGTGGTCACTGTGTGTCGCGAGCTTCTGAATAAGGAGAGGGAAATGAGTCCATCAAGACGGAGTTCAGCATATGCACGATTAGTGATTGAGGTCTCGGTTGCTTATTGAAAGAAAATGTGTGGGAAACGATTCAACTATTTTCAGAAACTTTTTCGAAACAGGACCGTTGACTTGTGTTCGATTATGCCACCGCCAAATGATGCACAAATGCCTCAACATCCTTTTCACCTCATACACGAAATTATCAACAGTAAATCGTCATTTTTTGAGGTGACTCATACATGTTTCGTTATTGCCACGTGGATGCCCTATTTTTTACAGTACAACGTTTTAACACAACTTGCATCTCATTTTTTGGTAGAAATGATTCGCTGGGAATGCCAGCGCCTTATGACGAACCTTTCTAACGTCTTTATAAACTTGGTTATAGTCTGTGTCAATTATTCTCTCCCTTTTGCGTAGGAAGTACGCATCCGAAACGCAAAGGCTTGTTGCAGTCCACTCAATGGGACCGAACGCCTAAGCCGTGCTCGCGGGGACGTGCCGCAAAGCTCTGGCGTTGCGACTGCGCTAATGGAAAAGGGAACACGCAGTTGATGTAGTCTTAAAGGCAGTGTCCAGGCTAAATCTTTTCCCCTCAGATTAGCGCCAGCCCTGCATGTACGCCCCTGGAGAGGGATATCCGTTCTTCTAAAATTGCCCTTGAATGGAGATAATACACCTGGAGCAGCGAAAGTGCTACCAAGCCAGCCCACATCTCATGAAGCTCTGCCCATCCCAAAACTGAAAGTGCCGGTATCTTCAGAATAGAGCTCCGAGAAGTCGAGTTTTTTGGGTTTCGCACATTTTGCGCTTTCATCTGTAGGAGAACGACAAAAACACGGGGAGGGGGACAAAATGCTGGGTGAACGCTGCCTCTAATGTAGATTTATTATAACCTCAACTGATTTTTTCTTTCTATCATACATAATTTATTCATTCTTGTCTTGCCTGCTTAGCTCTTTCACATATCTTTGGTTGATTTCAGACAATTATTGATGCTGATGATGGCCTGTCCAATGAGTTGTGGCAAGAAATCTGCGCGCAGGCCGATACAAGCATGGTGGTTGGTATACTGTACCGTTATTTTCCATATAGTCTCGGTTAGCATCTAAAGTAACTTCATCGTTCCAGCCAACAATCCTATCAGCCGATAGCATCTTGATGCAAACCGTGTCGTTCTATGTAACACGTCTATTACCCACTGAACCTATGGCTCCTAATGTTAGTCGAGCTCCACTTGTAGGTGAAATGGGCAGCAGAAAGCATACTCCGCTTGATCTTTTCCTGCCTACTTCTCCTTTGCTGAACTCGATGAGACTAGGTTAGTTTTTTTATGAATTTTTTGCATGTTTTTCGAAAAGTGGATACAAACGTCTTTAGAGTCACCGGAGTTCTTTTCTTCGTCCCTCCATCCTCGACATTTGACCATATTCTGCAATTTTGTCACTGTGCTTTGCACAACGAATGATTTCCCGTCCGCTAATAGACTTATGATCTTGAGGTAATTTTGTAGGAAATCTCGCTGTACGTGTGCTAATATCCAATTTTCAGATATCTACTAAAGCAGTTTCATGTGTTTTGCTTATATGACATTGCTGACCAAGATTTGCTTGCTGTTAAGGTGAAGGCTACACTGGAAAACTCAATATATGAAAATATCGAAGCTTTACAGAAGTCTCTGCATTGTCGCCCACCGTTTTCCTCACAT